CGCCGGGTGCCCACGTGGAATTTCTCACAGGAGCGAGTTGCTGCGGGTGCGCTGCATCGTGCAGCTGGAGGCTTCTGTGGGCGCTAGGTACAGACAGGAATCTTACCAGGCACCCAAACGGCTCGCAGCCTCAGCTGCTTTATCCAGCGCCGTCTTGTAGGAGGCGTGTGAATAGGTATATCAAGAGACAGCTTTGCATCTTGCAGAATTATCCCAGTCTTCCCTTCAGATACAAACTCAGTGGTTCTGCGTGTTTAGCCTTGGCATGGGATTGTATTAATACACGTTGAATGAAGTTAATTTCCCCGGGTTAAACAGAGAGTAATGAATTAAGCAGCATTCTGTGCTTCTACTGAACAAATCTAATTTTAAGACTGGAACCGAGCACCTTAGTGAAATGTCTCTCTGTAAAGCCCACTTAGCTAAAAGTAAATCCTAGCTTTTCTCTATGTAAATCCAGCAAGTATAGCACATTTAATATGCAGAACAGGAAATACTAAACCAAGACTAACCTTTTGCCAGCAGACTGGTAGCAGGTACTGCAGCCGAGATGTGCTTCAGCGAAATGATCTCACTTGGTCTGACACACTGCATTTTGACTTCAAGCACCCCACCCTCATCTGGAAGTCAGTTGCACTTTCATTTTGACTTGCCAGCTTAAAAAAACCCAGTAACTACAAATCCTGTTTTCCTGGAAACTCCTCTCGTGTTGAACACGTACGTTTCCTACATTCCTCCCGCTTCCAGCCAGAATGTGAGCATTCTTTCGAAGGTCAAGACTCCCTGACTACTTCACTGTGGTGTTTTATTTCTGACGGTCCACATGTGGCTGTTTTTTGGTTTTTTTTTTTTTTTCCATAATTAAAAGACTTCCATGAAGTCAAATATTTGAAAGGTGAAAAGGAGAGAAAGAGGGGGAGGTCTGTCTGGGGCCCAGTCACCTGTAGGGTATCACTCTGTTCTTTCCGCAGGACACTGCTGTGATTTTGGTGGCTGCCTATATAAGGTTTTAAGGGATCCTTATATCTCTTTTTTAAGTAACCTTTTAGGGGATATAATAGAAAGATGAGTTTGCATTGTTTATGGCAGGGGAGGTTGCTCTTTTAGCATGTGATACTGAACAAAACCAGGAAGGTGATAAGGGAGGGTTGTGAAGGCAATTGGAAATTTGTCAGCTGGAGCAGAAGCTGACAGTCCTGCACCCTGGGGGAGAGTTCTCCAGGACTGGAATGTTACCGGTCAGACTTACGTCCAAGTGTTTGATAGTATTTCTACAGGAACTGCAAGCCAGGCAGATGCTGTAGAAGATATCTAAAAGGATGCTGTTCCACCCATGAGGTTTCCCCCTCTTTGTGCTGTCTGCATCATGAAGAGTCAGTATTTGTCCATCTTTCCTTTCCTCCGCAAGTTCTGCAGCTTCCATGCAGCCATTAATGTTTCTGCACCGAGGCACGGACCTACCTGTGCTAAGAATCCCTAAAATGACTGGATCATGCTTAAATTTCCACAATCTCTACAGTGGAATTTATCTCTCGTGCAAGAGTACCTTGTGCTCAGGAGCCTTCCATGATCTTCCAGAGCTTGTATTTCGTTTGCTTTAGCCTGTGTCCTGAGGCAGTGAAATGAGTTTCAGTAAATGCAATATTGATGCCAAGAAACAGAGATTTTGAGCGGACCAGAGGTTAGGTTTTGCTTTTTGGCACACTGGCTAAATTGATGCACCTGCCATAGCTGGATTAGCCGCCTGTCTGTGCTTCAGCTATTTTGGAATACGTGAAAGGACAGGCTTTTCAAAATGGGAAGCCAAGAATGTAGCAGGCAGATGTTTTCCACATGCTTCTAGCTTAATCTGCAGTCACAAGAAAGAAAAATGGGTCGGGAGAGGAACTGTAGTCTAGAGGAAGAGTGCTGCAATACTTGTGTGTCTTTCTGCCGTGTTTTTCTCTGGAGTCATCACAGCACTCCGGGAGTGTTCTTCACAGTGGCAGACGAGGCATTCGGGTTGCTCCCAGCACGTCTGCATCTCGCCAGTTGTGTCGTTGCTCAGGGGCCTGGGCTGTACCTCTTCAAAATAAGTGAGTTTCTCCATTCCGAACGGTCTGTGCCTCAGGTCCCCAGAGAGAGGGAATAGTCACGGCAGATCTGAGAAAGCTTCCAGGGAAATAGCTCTGTGTTGCCTGCAGAAAAGACAGTTGTGTTACTCTCCCAAGAGGTCCCGTGGGCAGGCTGTAAGAAGGCAGTTCGTGTAGATCCTCTGCTGTTTATTACAGTGCTTAGGCTCCTCTGAACTTTGCAGGGCGCAGGGGGGACGGAACCTTCCAGTCAGGGTACTGACATAATGCTGTCGCGTGTTAATGGATTTCAGTAGAGGCTCAAAAAGAACAAAAACTATGTAGTAAGAGTGAATGCAAAATGACAGTGGACCTTGTTTAACTAAGAAGAGCTTGTGGCTTTGTAAAAGTGGGATGAAGGTGAGGAAAAAAACCATACCTAAATGTTGCTGGGAGCAGGTGCTTCCACGGGCCCCATCTAAGCTCTAGCTGGGAATGACCAGCAGCCACAGGCAGTGGCAGGACTGCGGAGCTCTTGCCGATGAGCTGCAGAACCCCAGCATTGTCTGTGCTTACCGGTTGTAGACCGTTGGCTCACAGCTGCATCGTACCCTTTACCAGATGCCCAGCAGTGTTACCTGGAGAAGATGAGGGAAAACCACCTGGCTCGCTGCGCAGCCGCCAAGATGGCAAGAGTCGTAGGTATTCTGGGCCTTCAAGTAATAGATTTTCCTGCCTTAGTTGTCTTAGCCAAAAATTTGGAGACTGGGCACTGAAAACCAGATTACTGGATTGCAAGAACTAGGTGCTGTTGGTTTCTGAAACCAGGTTGTATGGTGGCTTCAGTCGGTAAAGGTTGTGCTGTCTGTGTCTGTGGCACATGTAGTACTCCCCACCCGCAACAACCTCAACGGGTTGACTGCGTGAAGGTCGGTAATCCTGGGCGTGTTACAGCCCCGGTAGCAAAGATGAGGCTTCTCCTAGGATTGTGATCAACCCTCAGAGCACAGTTTGCAAGGTCGTCGTCTTTGCCTACGTGAGGGCTGTGAAGGGCTAAAAACATAAAAGTACGTCACTCAAACTCATGATGCTTTCCAGGGTGGCAGCATCGTGGTTGAAAAGTTTTGCACAGGTTGTACAGGGAAATACATAAATAAGCTTATGAGAAAGCTTATCAATGTGGGAATATGCTTAAAACCGACCTTCTGAAATCTAAGCTATTTCTCTTAGTTCAGTTGTAAGTTTCTTGCAAAACTGCTTGTAACCCCTGCCAAAATGACAGGCTTTGACTCTTCCCCTCATCCTCCGGCAGCTTCTTTGAAGTAACACAGAAATGCCATTTAGGAAGGAGATTTATTCCATCCAGGCGGTCTGCGTTTCTTCCAAAGCACTGGAGTCTTTCAGATTCTTCCATCAGCATTTCTTCCTGGTATTTATGGGTCAGAGTTGCATAAAATGTGTTTGGGGTTTTCAGAACTGCAGACTCTAAGGAGTAGGAAGGCCGGGAATCTGCCTGCCTTTGCTGTGCCCAGATAGGAAAAAGCACATAAGAAATGGAGGTATTCATTTTCCTTCCAGAAACTTGTGCTAATGATTTAGAGCATCTGACCGCATCCCTGGCTCCCAGTGAACTCCTCACGAAGTTCAGCGTGAAAGCTGCTGCTGATCTTTTTCATACACCCTGGTGAAATCTGCTGGCCTTTGAAGCAGGGGTGCAACTTGAGGGTTGTTTACAAAACAGCTTTTCAAGAGATTCCAGGAAGTCAAAATATCTTTTGTTGTAAACCTCACTTCAAGATAAACAGTTTTTATTTATTTAGGTTTAGGAAATCCCACATGTGTCGTTCTTTACCTTCTGTGGAAAAGGGGGAGAGTCAGACAGCCCTGCAGAACATAGTGTGTCCCTTTGCAGGGTAGCGCATGGCAAAGCAGATGGGTGTGATTTTGGGGTTGGTCACCTGTCCTTAGGAGGAAGTAACTCTGCTCCATGGCAGGTGGTTGTACTGTCCACACCAGAGGCTCCCAAAGCTTATGCTGCCAGGGCAGCGGACAAGTCAACTCCTGAGCTTGGAACAAAGCAAGGGGGCGCAGATTGAACCTCGAATTGAATCTCGGCGAAGGTTGTCATCTGCCCCGAGGTAGCGATCAAACGTGTGCGGCTGGCGGAACCCGGCTCCCCCTTCCCCAGCTGGGTTGTCTCTGCGAGGCCTTGAAAGGAATGGGAGTGTGTGCTGTGGGACTGCGAAACCTTGACACGAAAAGATAACAAGGATTAAGGCTCTTGGAAACAAAAAGCCGTTTTAATTAGTGGTAGAATCGTTAGGCCATGTACGTTACAATGTTAGCTTTAGCTGCAGAGCCCAGTCCCAGATAAGGTTACCAATGGCTTGAAACGCTAGCACGATATTTTCAGTTAGGGATTCCCACCCAGCCCTTTCTTCGGAGGGCAAACCAAAATCATTTGCGTAAAGAGGGAAAAGAGAACCTCAGCAGCGTCCTGGGGGTGACCCTTCGACGGGCAGACGCGCGTGACGTGGTTGGCGTTGCGCTCCCACCGAGATCTCCAGCCTCTACGGTTTGAAGAAGTTGTACCTTCGCGGCGTCTCCCCTTGCTTTTGTGTCACGCTTATTTGCATACCTGCAACCGGGGCAGAAGCGATCGGATTCCAGTTCAAGTACCTTCTTGTCCTCTTTTCAGAGGAATAGACGGTGGAGCTGGATCCTGGAGGGTTTGGATGTCTGGCTTTTCATTGTTCCCCTTCCCACAAGCCAACTCCCTTTCCCATGTTAAGCAATATCAGATGTGTTTTGTTCCAGTCTGATTACTCAGAGTGTAAACACGGGAGTAGGTCGCACGCTTTTGCCCCTGTAGCACAAAAGGTCCCTTCTTGTGACCCTCCGCCGAGACTTACGCGTTGAAAACACCTTTGTGTTTGTGACTTCTTTAAGGTGCCGGGAACCCCAACTGCAAAGTGGCAATTGTAATGGGCAAGACCAAAAACTCCTCAGCGTCCAGGTAAGGATTCCTCAGAGGTTCAAACGGTTACCTAAAACTTGCTTCCTGGAGGAGTCACTGCTCACCAAAACGTTGTGGAGTGGAACACTGGTGGGTTGGATGTGCCCTTGAGTTGCAGGGCAGTTTAGACCTGTGCGTGTCTGTTGCCCCCCAAGCTCCTGTTTTGCCGAGTACAGGATATAAAGCAGTTAACAAGAGGAAGTATCACTTGCTTAAATGATAAACCCCAAAATTATCAGAGGTTCCCCAAGCAGAAGGAGCACAAGGGGCACATCAGAGGCCTGAAGTTACCTGCTCAGTTCTTCCCAAAGCCACCTGCAGGTAGAGAAATTCCCATTTGAACCGTGGGATGGTCGTTACATCAGGTTGTGTGAGCAGAGAGCGTTGCACATCTTTAATCAGCCCAGCTCGTTCCGCTCCTACGTGCGTAAATACGGTACTTCCTGCCCCTCGTTTAAAACAAATAGGTTGTTCAGCTCATTACCAGACTAAAGTTGCCTTTTACAAAAACGTACACAAGTGGTGAGTGAAATGCTTTGTGACTGCTTCCATTCAAATCACACAGCTCGCAATGCACAGGGACTGGAACAGTTCTATCCCTAAGCTGGATTTCAGCCCAAATTCCACCGGTTAAGTTTTTAGACTTGGCTAGGTTCCGCTTACGGCACACGGGATAGTTTGTCCGGCGGCTGTGTGGAGGGTGGCATCCGTTGAGCTCTTGGAAGTGGAGAAGAAGTTCACGGAGGGGAGTGTGTGATACCACAGCACTAGAACCGGAGAGTTCAGGGACGTGGGGTGTCGCCTCCAGCTCTGTGTGACTAATCACTGACCTTATCTATTCTGTAGGAATTTAAACATGGGGATTTTTTTCCTAAACTATAGGCAAGCCAAGAGGATGGTGACGATAAACAAGTTTTGAGAACAAAAAAAGGAGAGGCGGGGCGGGGGAGGAAGGTGACGGGGGGATACAGGAGCACTTGCACGGAAGCGAGGGAAGGGGCAGTTTTTGGGTGGTGGTGCATTAAGTGCCAGTGGTACCTTTTCACCTGTTGGCTGGCGACTGGGGAATGGTGAGGAACTCGCACGTCGCGGGATGCGGGGCTGCGATCCGTATGGAGAAATCTCACCGTTGGCTTCGTGCGAGCGCCGAATTGAGGACGGACAATAAAGAAAGTGGGGGGAGGCTCAAAGTTAATCGCAACTTGTGCCTTTTGTCTCGGGCAGGCACGAGCAGCACAGTATGGTCATTGTCCCCATGGACACACCTGGGCTGAAGCTGATCAGGCCTCTCTCCGTGTTCGGCTATCTGGGTAGGTCTTTGTCAGCTGCATGTGCAGTAATTGGTTGTCCAGCTCAGGAGCTGCAGTAATACTGATAAATACTGTGTATGAAACAAATCTGTAAAGTGCATGTACGGAGAAGGGGTTAGGGATTGAAGGCCGGTATTTTTATCTTCCTGTGGTTTTCTCTGCTGTTGTGGTTTCCCCGTCCCTGCAGACGAGCTCCATGGAGGTCATTTCGAGATACACTTTGATGATGTGCGAGTACCCGTCTCCAATATCATACTGGGTGAGTGTCAGTGCCAATGCCCTCTTGGTACACACCGCAGGGACCTCTGTTTTATGAAAAGGTGGTTTATTTGATGAATTGCTGTAGCTCTTACAGCCATGTTAGCCACGGTCATCATAGAATCACAGACTGGTTTGGGTTGGAAGGGACCTTAAAGACCATCCAGTTCCAACCCCCCTGCCATGGGCAGGGACACCTTCCACTAGACCAGGGTGCTCAAAGCCTCATCCAGCCTGGCCTTGAACACTTCCAGGGATGGGGCATCCACAGCTTCTCTGGGCAACCTGTGCCAGTGCCTCACCACCCTCTCCGGGAAGAACTTCTTCCTGATATCCAATCTAAACCTCCCCACTTTCAATTGAAACCCGTTACCCCTTGTCCTGTCACTACAGGCCCTTGTAAAAAGCCCCCCCCAGCTTCCTTGTAGCCTCCTTCAGGCACTGAAGGCAGGGTCAGCTGAGGCAGGGTCTCAGACATGTCAGAGGGAGCCCCCTCTTCCTTGAGCAGCCTACCTCCTGCTTCAGAGCAGAAAGGGGATCGAAGGAAGCCAGGCAGCTGGAGCTGTCCCATGAAAATCCCTTCTCTGAAGCAGAGCAAAGCGGGCACTTCCGGGAGTGTTCTTACCCCAAAACTGGTTCTCACAGGCTTTAAGAAGAGCCTTCTGCTGCAGGCCGTGGCCGTCCAAGCCTGGGTGCCTGCAGCCCTAGCAGAGTGGGAAAAAACAAGGTGAAAGGACATGCCGGCTGGCACTGTGCCCTTCGGCAGGGAGAACTCTGCTCTACTACTGTCGCTTAGAAGAAATCGGGATTTACAGTGTTTCTTCTCTGCTGCTTTTATTTCCCTGAAAGACTTTCTGTCTTGAGCAGCCTTAGGACCTGGAAACCTCAGTCTTCCCCCAAATTCGCACACCAAATCTCACAGATGTATTTCTCCGTGTAAGATTAGTGACGTTTAAGTGAAATCAGGAAAACCAAACCCTCTCAGAAACTATCCTGGTGTGTAAGTGTTGTTAACAGAGCGTCAGTGTCGGTCCAGTTGGAGTAAACAAACACAACCGTTCTGCAAAACCAACTTGCAAGGAGGTTGCTTCTGGCTCTGGTGCTGGGAGGCCACTCACACTCGGAGCCACGGAGCGTTCGGGCAGGAATCAAGGAGTCCGCACGTGCCCGTTTTTCTTTCCGACCAGGTGAGGGCAGGGGGTTTGAGATCGCTCAAGGTCGCCTTGGGCCAGGCCGCATTCATCACTGCATGAGGTCTCTCGGCGCAGCTGAAGCCGCTCTGCAGATCATGTGCCAGCGTGCAGCCCAGAGGGAGGCTTTCGGGAAGAAACTCTACCGCCACGTAAGCGCGTCCCCCTCTTTGCCTCGGTTCACGTGCTCCCGGCCTCGCCCGCCCTTTCGCCCGCGCAGAACCTCGCGGCTCCGATAATGGGCGCTGCAACAGATGTGCCCTAACCTCGAGTTCCCGTTCGTCACGCCTCGGGTGGCAAAAGGCAAAAATCACACTGCGAGGCTCCCGTGTTTCACTCTAACCCACGGGATCTTTTTTTTTCCTGGCAATTAATTGGATATCCTTTGCTGCATTCCAGTACAGATTTTGTCCTCGTGTGTTTTACTCTGCTTTCCCTGATGGGGCATACAGCTGCTGTTTCTGTGGTTACAGTCGGAATTCACCCCCTTTTGGTGTGGGGTTTGTCACCTAGACATCTCCGCTCATCGTTACCAGAGACGCTACGCTCAGCGGTCTCGGTTTGCTGGTCAATTATTTGTACGTAGGAAGGTGCAGACCAGACCAAAGCCACGGTGGGATTTTTGGTGTTATCTTGCTCTGGAATTCACATACTGTTGGGAGAGCGAGGGCTGGCTAGAATAGTAGAAAGCTAATGAGGCCGCTCATTATCAGAACCATCAGCATTTAGTAGCTGGCCTATCACATTTCAAGTGTTCCTCAGGCTTATCCAGCAGCTAGGATGACTCAATTGGAAAAAACAAGTAAAACAATGGAAAGATGAAAGTGCATTAGTGTCTGGCACAGGTTACAGAAAATCGTTTGCAAAGATCCAGAGGGAATGATCTTACATATCCATTTTCCAGTCCTGTCGTTGCCAAACTTCCATTCGCATCCATAACCCAGAATTACGGAGAGTTGGACGAGGCGCGCTCTGTTCCTCAGCAGCTCGCTAAAGTAAATCCGTGTGCGGGCTGAAGCCGGGGCAGAACCCGGCGGCCAGCTGCACGGCCAGCTGCGTGGGCAGCGCAGGTCCTCGGC